ATATATATGAGACTGGGAATATTTACGATTGCTTGAAATTGTATAACATATGAACGTCGTATAAAGTACGCTCGCAGTTTCTTGAATGTATAATGTTCATTACCATCAATAAAGATTAGTTAATCTCTCTCAGCTTACTTTTCATCTTTTTCCAATCCTAAGAATTAGAAAAAGATGAAAAATCAACTAAACCGAAATTAATATTAGCCTACATTGGTAGAAATGAATCCAAGATGAATATTAGAGTTGGTTCATTTTTAAAAAAGTAGTTCCAGAATATTAGCAGATAAATTTTTGAAATACGATACAAACGAATGTAATACTCTGGCGCTTAATTGCCTGCAATTATCATAGAAAATAAAAATGTATCGAACAAATCTCTCCTATATAATACATAAAACTTATCATTAAGAACTGTAGACTAGAATATGGCCGAATGTGTGTGTTCTTATATCTATATAAGTAACGACGTAAAACTGTCGCCTTTAATAAAGATTACATAACTGTTTAGTTAACGAAACAAACTTACGTGCCATCATTTTTTAAACGATTAATACAACATTAAATCGTAATTGCGTAACAAAGTAAAGACTTTGAAGGATCAGTAACAATACCAGCACTATAAAATCACAAAACAATGAAGATTCGGAATGTCGAAGTGCATTATTCGGTGCCGCAAGCAAACAGATTAATATAGGACAGTGTCTTTCATACGTGGCGTTTTATTATCCTTTTCCTGACATGGAAGAGCCAAGGTTGGATTAAAGGTTGGTCTGAACACAGGTTTGAAAGGTAGCAGAAGTACGTTTTGATTGTATAGGTCACTTAGAAACATCCATCTGACAACAGGTTCTCTCAGGGAAGTTTCCTCTCGCGTTTGCCCTTTCAAACTTGCATTCAGACCGATGTTACTCAGCCAGGCATCTTCCGATTTATCATAGCGCCCAGATCCGGCACGATCTGCCTCTGCTCGCGATTGAACAGTAAAGTTCTCGCATTCAAAAATGACAGGTCCGGTAATTGATTCAGAACTTTTATGGTCTCGGCTTGCACGGTCATCGGTCTTCCATATCGATCCACGACTACGTGTTCCGTACCTTGCGTATTTTCTTTCTTACCTACCGATACCTTTCTATGATAATCATGTATTTTGGAGGTATTATTGCTTACTGGAAATGACTTATTATTGGTTAGAGGGGCATTTCTCAGTGTTCGATGTGAAAAGTTACTTTTCTGCTTAATTCCGATGTCTTGTTCGATCTTTTTCTTCCATTCCACTGTACAAGGTCCTGGCAATGGTTCTATTATTTTGGATATCTGAGACGATTTTTGTTTTAGTGAACTGCTGGGAAGATCGGATAAATTTTGCGATTTCACGGATTGACTTGGTTCTTGTACAACTGCTTCTGATGAATCTGCACCAATAATAAAAATTAATAATTAAAATTAGTTGAATTATGAATACAATAATTTTTTAAATACGTATGTTCAAAATCAAGCAGAGCAAAATTAAATGGGAGTCTACTTATTTTTTTAATATATACACTTAGTAAAAATATTTTTCTATTTGAAACAAAGTGTTATGAATATACATATACATGTATGCAAAGACAAAGACATTACAGTTTGAGCACTTACAGTAATAAACGGAGTTCGTTGAGCAAGATGACTGATGATAGGATTCGGAATGTATGGAGCAATGAGGTGTTAGTAGAGGGTCAAACGGACACAATAAATCCAGAGGTAGAAGAGCGGATAACCCACCACCACCTGTATTATTATTTTTCGCGACATTTAGGACAAAGTTCAACACACTTTAACCACTTTTGCTTTAGCGCTCACAGCACTTATTTCATCCTTGTCAAATATTATACAAGGATAAATAATGCTTACTATAAGCATCGAAGCAAACGTAGCCTTAATTTGTACATATGATCTATATGTAAGAGACAACACCAAACTACTTTTACATAGAGAATACTTATTCAGAAAATATTCTCTTTCTCTATCTATATATGTGAGATTATTTAGTAAAATATAAGACATTTAACTATGTTCCTTTCTTTAGTGCAATTTTTTATTTTAATCACTAAACATGCAATTACAATAAATACTTACTAGCATCTAGAGGATTTACAAGGCCAGAACTATTCCAATCAAATTGGGCAGCAGGTACTTCCTAATACGACGTTACAATTATTAATTGATATATAAATTACTTACACGTACTACAAAAATTAAACCTTAACTTACATCTGAATAAGCTATGCCCTGTGTCTTGCTAGTATTGGCTGCAGAAGGTTGCTGAAGCTCAGCAGTAGCTTTAATTGGCTCTAATGGAGTAAAACCAAGATTTGCAGCAAATCTTGGTATATTCGGATTCCATCTTGGTCCAAATAGCTTTAATTTCACATAACAAATATCGTTATTTTTTCTCATAAATGTGTAAAAATATTTTGATTACTAAATTGTGTGCTTACTTACAATATTCCGAGAATCGATGCCAAGAGCATTCAAAAGAACATTATTACTACTACTATTCGCCCACTGGTAAGTGAGAGCATTGGTTTCTTCCACGCTCTTCACATTCTGCCAAACTTTGTCTGCTTTATCTATTAAGGCTCTTAACTCGACTTCGTGATGTTCAGAAAGAACAGAAAACATATTTGTTATTATATCTTCTATTTTATTCGCAGCCTGAAAACGTTTTGATTAAATTATATATTAAAATATATAAAATTCTATATTATTTATATCATAATTTAAAACTAAAAATCTAAGTTAAAACGATTCACTCATTTTTTTACTCTAATAAACTACTAGCAATTATATATTACACAAACATTCCTAAACTCACATTCTTGTTTTCTATCCGACATATAGATTCTTTTAAACTAAACTGCTGAGTTTCTACTACATCCGTTGCTGTTTCAAAATTACTAAAGTCTCCGAAATCATCATCGTCCTCAGGTACCTTCAATTCTTTAGCATCGTCAGATTTCCATTCTACTGTTGTACTCGAAAAGTTAGTAAAATCGCCAAAATCGTCATCTTCGTTATCCGCACTTTCGGATTTGGGACAATTATCGTTTTGTGCTTTGGTTGCCGCTGGCTCGGTTGTTGGTAAGGGAAATTCATAAAATTTACCATCGCTAAAATATACTACAGAATTTTCGCTTTTAAATGTGGCACATTCTTCGCCCGCATTATTCGTAATATTAATTTTATCCTTTAAGCAGTCGAGAGATGTATTAGTAGATGGCAGTGAAACTCCTTTAATTGGTGAAAACTTTTGTATACAAGATGCATCAGATGAAGATGTATGTAAATCATGAATTTGTACTGTCTCGTATGTACTGGGTATTGAATTGTAGTTATTTGTCAACTCCGATACATTATTAAAATCTCTATGCTCCATAAATTCTGTAAAGTCGGAATTATCTAGATCGTATGCGTCAAAACCGTTTTCTGGAATGTAATCTTTGCGTATCTCTTCATTACTTGACTCTCCTTCCTCAGTGGAAATTTCCTCACTTGTCCCATTCACAGCTACTTTTTGAACAGTTTGATTTTTCGTTTCTACGTCTACATATTCTACTCTTTCTTTTGATTGTATAGTATTTTTTACATCAGTTATATCGCAGAAATTATTAGGAAAAGTACTTGCGTCGCTTTTTCTACTAGAATTTCGAAGGTGGATGCCTTCAGTATGCGTATGTACGGATGTATGATCTAAATTTGATTCCTCTCTTACAGCATCGTCGTCGAAAGTAAAATCGAAATCAAAAGAATCATCTACAGTTTTATTCGACTTTTTATTATTACTCGTCTCGGTATTAGATATTACATCATACATCTCTATGTATTTCGACTGAATACTGAATTCACAGTCCGGTTGTCTAAAAACGTCAGTATCGCCTACATTATATTCTTGTGAGATAACAAAATTGGAAATCGTTTTTTCATCATTGATAAAGATAGATTTATCGTTAGTATCATTGGTACAAGTTTCATTCTCGTCATATGACATGTAACTTTTTCCAACTTCATCCGTTGCGTTGCATTCTGTATTCGTGGAATTAGGCTTATCATTCAAGTAATCCGTCTGCAGAACCGTTACATCAACCTTTTTATCGCTAACAGTGTCGTTCCATTCGCTAGAATCTTTAAACTGTTCATAATTGTAAAAATCGTCGTCCAGTTGTTGCAAAATGTCCGGCGTACTCGTAAGATCCTCCAAGTCTAGACTCACGGGTTCGACCTCGTCGTTCGCTTCCAAATCGTTCGATGATCCTTCCTGCTCACTAACTGTCTTTACGCTATCAGCTAAACTACTATTGTTGCTACTAATTACATCTGTATCAACGAAATTTTCTTTAACTAAAACATTCTGAGTACAAACATGATCAACACTATTACTAATCTCAATATTACGCGACTCGTCATTTCTAGATGAATCTAATGCATTGTGTTCTGTTACACTAGCGTCTTCAAAATTATTTTCCAATATGTTACTATCATCTGTTCTATCTGTCAATCTTATGTGGCTCACATTGTTGTCCTCCTTCTCAACGATCAACAAATCATCGATAACGCCACATTTTGCCTTGTCTATCTTAGAACAATTATCCAATGTTAGTGACTCATTAATACCGTTCAATCGAGGAGATACATTCTGTGATGCTACTGGTGTTTGTATCGGAGTGATGAGTTTTTGTGGAGACTCTGATGAAACAGATAGACCTATAATAATATTTATATAAATTCAAAAATAATATAAACAATGTGTTCAGAAAGATGCTACTAACGCTATTTATGTCATTCCATCTTTATCTACATCTATAAATGATAAAGATAAAATGACACAAATAACACTGATACCCAGATATAAATACTCATTGTCTAGAGGACTTCTTTATGTTTTTTTGGATATCTTTTAGACATACATACATGTTCTAATATACATCTTTATAATATCTTTTAGGCATGCATGCTATCTGAGTAGTATTACCTCAAATATATCCAAAGTATTACTAAACTTTAATAATACTGCAATACGCTGCTAAAATCAATTCTAAGAGTCAGCAAATCACAGAACAATTAGAAAAAAATATATGACCCATTTATATCATGCTATCTGATATTCATATTCTATATTCTTTTCACGTTTAAGCATATCATAATAATGCATGTTCCAGTTATATTATGTTACAGTATTATTAGAGTTTAAAGGTTATAACATGCAATACAATTTGACGTTTAGTAGATGGCTGTTAATCTGTACATAAATACCATCTATTCCACCAGCTGTAAAATCTCCGAATTCATCTTCATCGGACTCTCCAAAGTTGTCTAAGGGCGGTGGCGTGGAGCTGACTAAAGGTGGGAAAGCCATGGTTCTCCCTATTTTAGAAAATATCAACAACACGTTTTACAAATTAACAAAAGATGTAAATTGAAAAGATCTCTCACTAATAATGCATAACGGGCGTAAAAACAAATCGCGGATTCATTCGACCACCGTTACCTTAACACGGGCTTTGTTTACAATTACGCCGTCTTTTCCTCTTCATTCGTGTACCCGTTACAGAGTTACATATGTCAAACGTAATATAGGTTAAGTTGCACTCTCGGACACGGACTCACAGGTTTTCCCGTGACCGAACAGAAAACAGATTTCCAAGGCAAGATTCTTACGACGATGATGACGACTTTACTCTCACCGTCATCCTCGGGCTATCACCACGTACCAGTATAATCCGCTCCGTAGATCTCGGGATGCTTGTCGGCACGATTCTATCTCGGTACTGTCATCTTGGTGATCATCGTGATGTGTGTCCCGCGTGTATGGGAGCGACGGGTCTCAGTGATTATCACAGCCAGGAACCGAACCGTCCAACAAAGCAAGTCGTCCGTGCGTGACGATTGAATGCACGATGACGACGATCATGAGACATCGCACTTCGCAGGTATGTAACATCGCCTCATATCACCTGTTCCAAGACGCGCGGCGCGTGCGCAATGTAAATGACGCGCTGTCGCGCACCTGCCGTGTGTAATTGTACGCGTATAAAATTTCGTCGATGGTTAATGTAAAATAAAATGCAATATAAAATAAATGAATAATTTATAGTGGTAAATTTTTTAAAATATGCAACATTATACTTATCGCTCATTTATTACAATGACACAGAAAATAAGTTTAATTGTTTCAAAATTAAATAATTAAAATTTAATTTTAAAACGCAAGTTTAGTGTAATAATTGGTTGTAGATAAGTAGAATTGTGTTCTTCCTTTTTTCTTTGTTTCAAATTTTTTTTATATATTATAACTTAAAAAAAAAAACTATTTTTTAGTTATCTGTCATTATCGTAGCGAATAAGCGATATGTTTAAATATATGGCAATACAAATTATTATATTTAGTAATATATTTTGTATTATATGTATAATTTGTTATATAACATTACTAATGAGTATATATCTTTTAATATATAAATATTATACATAAAATGTTATATATAACATTTATATACTTGTATATACAATTATTATATCACATACTAATTATAATATTATAATATAATGTACACGGAGTTATATATGATACATATATAGTGCATATTCTTGTTTATTTTATTATTTATAATTTCTTAATATCATATTCTTCGGAATACTTTATAATTTATCGAAAAGAGTAGCTTAATAATCGGTATGTATCTGCTACATTAATACAACTATTTCATACAAATAAAATATACTAGCGCGCGTTCGAAAAAACCTAAGTATCATTTTATCCTTGTTGTTTATCAAACGTTAAACAAGAATAAAATGATACTCGGAAGGCATTTGAGTAACGTTTTCGAACGCAGCCTTGCAACGTACTGAATTTACGTACATATCAATTATACTTATAACGTAGGAATAATTAAAATGCAAAAATGAAAAAATACTGATTCCATATTTAACATACAACAATTCTCAAGATTTATCATGTTCGGAAGCATGCTTGGTGCGTCTGTGTTTTCTCATATCTCCTTTCTGTCTGAAGCATCTGCCACATACGTCGCACGAGTGTGGCTTTTCCCCGGTGTGTATCTTGATGTGGTTATTCAAAGCCTCCGTTCTAGTGAAAGCCTTTTCACAATAATGGCACTTGTATCTGCGATCGCCACGGTGTATCAATCTGTGTTGGTAAAACACGGACCCAGTCAGGAAAGCCTTATTGCACACGTCGCACTTGAATGGTCTCTCCCTCGTATGTTTCTTCCTAACATGATCCGCTAAGTCTGGCTTTATAGTGAAACGTTGATCGCAATATTCGCAAGCGTAAGGCTTGATGCCCATATGGAATCTCTTGTGAGTCCACATATGACTGGACTGAGTGTAACTCTTTCCACAAATATTACAGACGTACGGCCTTAATCCGTTATGCCGCCTTTTGTGCGCGTTCAACGAGTTTGCTGTAGGCAACAGGCTGCCACAAATATCACAGGGGAACTTGGAACACTGATCTCGTCCGTGATCCTTTATATCTTCACATTTGTCGAAGAAGTTCCCGCAGAGTTCGCAGATAAACTTTGCGTCGCCCGACTCAGATAATCTAGATTCACGGTCATGTCTATTTTGCTTGTGCTTGTACAGCAAGGATAATTCTTTCATATCTTTGTTGCAGATATCGCATAGAAAAACGGTGAGCACTTTAAACAATCTAGGATGTTCCTTCCAATGCAAAACAGCTTCAGCGAACGATTTATAAGTAGCCATGCATGTATTACACGTGTAGGGTCTTTCGATAACATGATGTTTTTGATGAGCTTTCAAGTTGTCCGCGTTGATGAAATGACTGTTGCAAAATTCACAATGGTATAGCTTTGATGTCAACAGCTCCTCAATCAATGTGATCTTGTCTTCATGTACTATCTTATAATGAATATCTGCATCATCGCAAGAGACGAACACTTCACCGCATTGGATGCATTTCCAGACCGTCTGGTTGTTCTCGATAACTATGCAGTGGCTCGCGACATGCTTGTTCAATCTTGATTTCTGTGTAAAGCTCTTCGAACACTCCGAGCACTTGTAAGGTTTCTCAGGCAGATGCGTCACTATGTGACGCTTCAGGGTGTAGCCATCAAAAAAGCCTTTGTTGCATACTTCACAAATGTGAGGTCGATTTTTACCGTCGACGCAAACATGAACTCGAAGCGTCTCCTGATTCTCAAATAACTTTCCGCATTGTAGACACGATACGCTAATCTCCTTGGAATGTTGTCTCTTATAGTGATAGAACAGCTTCAACTCTTTACCGAACGTTATCTTACAGACCTCGCAGTACAATGCTTTCGCGCCTTCGTGAAATTGCATATGAAAGTTCAATCTCTCCTCAAAAGTAAACGTCTTATCACATACGAGACATTTGTACGGTTTTGTTGTATTCTGTACACTAGGCTTACACTTATGACTATCTAGTGTTTCCTCAGTGTGATAAAGATTCATGCACGCTCCACATTTTAAATATTTCTGTTTAATTCCCAGACATTGCAGTGTAATAGAACGATTTCCGCTTTCCTTATTGACCTTTGCGTTGTTAAAAATGTTCTCTTCATCACTGCTTTCTAGAATTATATCATTCTCGTATAATTCGGTATCTTTCATATTCTGTAATGTCTCCTCACACGTATTCATGAAACCCTTTATACATAAAGGACAGGATTGTTGATCAGAAGAAAGTCGATCGGAAATGTTAAAAGATTGTTTCTCCTTTAACATCGTTGACAGAATTTCCTCTGCTTTAATGCATTGTGTATCAAATGTATCACACCAGTTTACTTTCTCAACGCAGGTCAAACAAAGCTGCTTTGGTAATGGGTCTGTCTTCTTAATCTACAATGAATTACGTTATATTATATAATATACATATATTTATTGGTATTATTTATATAGTATGAAGAATATATTATGTGGTAGAGATAAACTTAATACAACCGGATAGCAGATAATTTTTTGTATAAAAAAAAAAGAAGTTAAAAGTACAATTAATGTACTTAATGATTATTCATATCATAAATAAAACTTAATTATTTATTTATGTTAAAAAATCATAATTTATTTTTCATAATCATAATTTATTAGTGTTTTAACGCAAATAACTTCTACGAAAAATAAATTACAATTTTGTAAATAGCTTTTTTTCCTTCTTTGAGTGTCAAATCATTGAAGTATTACGGACAATTTTCCGAACATCCTGTATATATGTTTATCAAATATGTTCAATAAAATATTTTACCTTAACGCTTAGACATGTATTTATTTTATGTGCCAATTTCATTGATTCGCCAGATTCAGAATAAATATATATTGGATTAGTGGTTTGACCAGCACATAACCGACAAAAAGTAAATAAGCTGTTTTCTCTTTCATCCTGTACCGATAATTCCAATATTTCATTGGAAGAAAGTGGCTCCTCTTGGGACCATATTATAGAACCTTCCAAATTGTCAATATCATCTTCATGATCACTTAATGTACTAATTGACTCTGCTTTTAACATGTTTTATCGCTGCAAATTAAATTTATATAATATATGATAACAATTCAATTACACTTTATATTTAACCACATGTTTATCTTTTGCAAAATGTCTATAAAATACTAAGATACAAAATATATTATCATCTTATAATCGTTCTTATTTATGAATTACAGTAAATGTTATTTAAATATTTCATAATTTTTTCAGTTTTTTTTACACTAAACACATTTAAAACAAAATTATAATGCATTTTAATTACATCTAATTTATTTTACACACTATAAAAAATACTGGGAATATTGCAATGAAACATAGATTACTTTTTCTTTGAAAAGAACACAAATATTCAAATATTCTTTCATGGCAAACTCAATATTCTTGATATAGTGAATTTTCGTGCTACCACGATTCAGCTTCTTCAAAGATAAATAAACAGATTGGTTAGCTAACTGGAATTGCCTGCTACTTTTAAAACAATTGAAGGTACTGCTTTACCGTTTCTATTTTGTCTCCAACAGTCTCTAAAATAATACAAATAAAGAAGCGCAGATACATGGAGGTTACATATAGGTTGTATATGATTAATGTTTTTTATTTATTCATATATGTATACGCACATAAAGGAGAATTTAATATTTTAACAATTTCAGTGAAATAATTAAAAATATTAAATATTAAAAATAATATAAAAAAAATTAATCTTATAAAAAATAAAATATGTAATTTTGTTAACATGATTTTATATTTATTACATTTTTATATAGATTTATATAATTTTTTTTTAAATTGATAATTCGTATATAAAAATATTAATATATTTCTGAAATGAATATTTTAAGAAAAATATTACATATTTTTCTTAAAATATTACATATTTTTTCTTAGATTCTAAAATTCTAACTATGTTAATAATATGTCTTAATATTATAAGTATATATTCAGAATATTATTAGAAAATTAATGTTTATTTATTACAATGATATTAAAAGTCCATGAATACAAAAAAAAATTGTATTAATGTGACGTTATTACATATAGTAATTCATTTTTTAGCCGGCATTCTCGTAAACGTTTACAATGGCGCAATGCTGTTAACAAATTCAACTTAGTCTTATCAATCTTTGTTTTTGTTTGTCTATAATAATCCTCAGCTGTGAAGAAGTAGAGATATCCTGAAAATTATTTTCATGTACAATATATACTTACTAACTAAAAGAGTGCAGCACTTTTTTTTAACCCGTAGTGGTCACACTGGGTCTGTCTGACCCGAAGCAATTTTTGAGTTGATGTAGTCAATAGATCAAGTAGAACGCAAATGGCGACTGTTTTTTTGCGTCGGATCAACTGGACCCAGTGTGACCAATACGTTATTTTTAAGAGGTGTGACCACTACGGGTTAATAGGTTTTGGAATGTAGTCTACTCACTGATGAAATTGATTCTTACTTATGGATCTGTAAGTAAGAACCAATCGCCTAGTGAGTAGGCTGCATTCTGAAAACAATAAAAAAAAAATCTATTGCAACCTTTTAGTCAGCGAGTATATGTATGTAAAATACATATTTTACATATTGTTACATTTATTTATAGACATTTACATTACATATTTACAAACAGACTTATATAAACTGTTAAGACTTACCATTTTCATCTCGGATATCAAATTCTTGCTTCTTATAGCGTAAATATAAATTAAGATCACCCTTTTTTTGAGCAACAATTTTTCCCAATGATAAAAGCGTATACTTTGCAATTAGCGTTTGATTTATAGCACTTATAAAGTGATTAATTGTCTCTAAATTATTAGCAGTTGGCCTTCCAATAATATATTTAGGTACTGTATTAAATTCTTCTGCAGTGATAAGTGGTATCGTTGGACATACTTCTGGTTCATTAAAAAGTGTTCTTTTACAATCTTTCATAGTTTCTTCTTTTTCAAATGTTGCGGTGCTTCTTACACTATTAGACATTTGTGTTGTCAACCGGTGTGTTGAATTTACAGTACATTTCAACATACTAGGAGTATTCATAGTTGCATTCTGGTAACCTTGTATGAGTTCAGGTGGAATATTCTCTCCTTGGTGAAGAATTCTTTTGTCCAAAGTTTCAAGTAACATGAATATTTCCTTCAAGCAAATAAAGTTATCTTAACTAATTAGTTAAGATAATTTAAATAAATTATCTTAACTAATTTTTAATTCTTAAAATAAATTTTCAGAAATAATTTTACTATACATACCTTCAAACGAGAATTCTGTTCATGCATTCTTTTTAACATTTTTTTTGTTTTACTAATGCTACATGAAATTTTCTGTATTTCCTCATGTGCTTCCTGGAGTTCATCTTTTAAATTTTGTTTACCTGTAAGAAATGAAATATAACAGTGACAAATGCATTATTACTAGGGAATGAAAGTAACTCGTTACTTGTAACAAAGTTATAGTTACAAGTTACTTTTTTGGTAACTTTACTGATAACTGCGTTACTTCCTTTTTTTTTATTATTATAGTAATTGTAACGGTAATGTAGTTACATTTTTTGGATAACGGTAACAAAACTTACAGTTATTTTTATTGCTACTTTGCATATGTTATTCCGTTATATAACAATTACATGTTATTAATTACGACAGCTATAAATGCGGTTGTAGGATATTGAGTGTTTTTATTTAATACAGGCGTACAAGCTACATTTAGTTTAACTTAACCTAAACATCGTACACGTTTTGTTCTAATTGAGCTGTGTAAAAAGCTTTACTCTGTACATTTGTATATATTTATGTTGAGAAATTGGAAAACACCCCTTTTTGCAAAATTTTTGTTATATATTTTAATTATAGCATTATAATTTTTTTTCTATCAAAATATTTGATTTACAGTTAAAAGTATAGATTAAGTAAAAATATAGCTGTATTATAATAAAGAGATTATGTGTATTTCTTAATTTTCCTTTTAACTTCTAACTTATATTGTGATTCAGATAGTCCTATATAATCCTATATAATCTTCTAGTTTTTCACAAAGTATAAAAAAATTCCTGAAATATTTTAGCTGTCAATTGCTGTAGCAATCCTGAAGTGATCTTTGACAGCTGAGAAATATATACAGTACCATTATTTTAGGAATTATTTTGCACTTCTATCTTCTATGTGATACATCGGACATACGTATATCTCACTGTGTTGCATATTTTACAGGTTTAGAATTACAAAATTGTGTTTAAAAAGAAACTAAAAAATAAAACTATACATAGTGTCAGTGTTATACATGCTATATATATATTGCTTTTATTACCGTTTAAACAAAAAATACTGCAAAAATATATTTTCAGACTAATTTTTAAAAACTAATGGAAAAGTAACAAAAAGTTACCTTTCGAGTAACGGTAACTATAACGAGTTACTTTTAAAAAGCAATAACTAACTAGTAACAGTAACTCGTTACTTTTTTTACTCGGTAACAAGTAACATGTAATACCTGGTTTATGCTTCAGGTCTTAATCCCAAGATCCTAAAATTCAACCAATAAAGCTGCCAGTTCTAATCGAAATTTGAACTCTATTGGCTGAATTTTAGGATTAAGACCTTAAGACCGAAGCATAAACCAGGCATAACTTAATATTACTTGTAAAAAGTAACTTTCCATTCCCTAATTACACAAAAAGCAAATAAGCTATTTTCTTTTTCATCTTATGTCAATAATTTCAATATTTCATTAGAAGAAAGTGACTCCTCTTTAGATCTCATATCAAAGAACCATCTACCAAAAAAATTCATTCATTAAAATTTTATGAGTACAACAAAAGCAGTGATAATACTTTTTATTAATACTGTAGCCGTATGGAGTCCCTGGAATCTTATGGTTTGTTTATCAATCATCTCTTCCAGATTATCCTCATCTTGTTTCACAATTTTATCTTCATCCATCATACCTCGCTGCAGAAATCAAATTAAATAATATAGACAATGGAATTTTTACTTTATCCTACATATGATCAAATCTGATACAAAATGCATATAACCACAAAATACATGTATTTAAGCATATTTTTTCTTAATTAAGTTTACAGAAATATTAGTTTCTAAAAAGCAATATTACTCTGAGGTAGCTGCTTCAATCACTATATCACAATACAATTATGTCCTTTACTTTTTGTTTTATTGAAATACTTGTGTCAAATATGTCGAGAATTGTAAATAACTTTGCTCCAAAGCACGTTTTAACGCTTTAAATTAAATGTTTAATATTACCCACAATACCCACGCGGTTATCTACCATTTTCACGATATCCATGCAGTGATAGATAGGAATTGGAAGCACAGTATATTACAAGCGCAACTAAAAGCTACTTTAGCTACTTTCACCGTAGCTAAAAATGAACTGCACATGCGCGACCGAGGAGCGTAACCAATCAGGGCACTAGATATTTTATCTCACTTCTTCTTTCTATTGTCGGTGTCTGTCAGTCCCATTGAAATGTCCATATAAGGCATTTAAAGGACAATTTGACGGAAAGTGGCGGGAACGCGACGAATTTTATGTGAGAAACAGTGAGAATAGTGCTACGTGTGATAAAGTGATAAGTGATACGTGTTTAATTATAATAATTATTCAGTGTATTCAGACGTGTTTTTAGAAAGTGTAAAAAAACAGAGAGCGTAGACCGAGGGTGCTTTCCAACAAGGACAGAATCAGACACTGTGGGTGCGATCCACTAGACGCTTCAAACGCTTAGAAGTGCTTCAGATGTGATCCACTAGACCCTTCGAAGCGTTTCTATAGCAGATACGACGTCATATATGACGTCATAGGTTTTCGCTTCCAGCGTGCTGCAAATGCTTCTGCCGAAGAGGTAGTACGGCTGAAGCGATATTTTGAATGCACAAAAGCGCGGGAAATAATCAGAAATATCAATTAACTATAACCTGTGTTTCGTGATTTCGTTTGGTTTTAACGTTTTATATTGATCGAAACTAAAAGTAATGCCGGTTATACAATTAATAAATGTTAATACCGGAGATACTCATACTTTAAAAGTTTCCGAAGAAGATACAAGAAAGGTTAATGAAGGTAAGAATGTATAATAACCACGTAATGCCACGTTCGTCTCCATATTAACATGAATTATGTCTTCCGCAACCTAGGAATACGATGGTTACGAGATTTTTTAGCAGATTACGTTCAATAATAACGCTTCCAACACTTCACGATTGATCCACTTGTGTAGTATTGGCAACGTTAGTAACACTAACGGATCACTCTATCGGAAGTATTTGTAGCAATAGCCATGATCTTTATATCATGGCAATAGCGTCTGAAGCGTTTGAAGTGTCTAGTGGATCGCACCCTGTGTAACACATGGTATAAGAATAAGGGTATGCTCACGCGCATGCGACCAATTAAAATTGTCAAAGTGTGACGTCACACAAACAAGCGGTAAATTTAAAACTGCTGTTTCCAAACAACTTATGTTAGCAGCATTTTCGTCAGATATTTTATTTTATTTTGATTTAAAGTTTACAGGAAAAATACGTTTTTAAATAATTTAAGAACTAATGAATATCTTGTAACAAAATGTAACCATAAGTAAACATTACAAACTCAACAAAGATAGAAGAATTTATTATGAAACAAATATATAAAAATGTTAATACCTTTTCCTTCAGAGATATATATATTGTATTTCTTTAGTTGTATTTCTTTAGTTGTATTTCTTTAGTTGTATTTCTTTAGCAAAATTATATACAGTTGATTTCGTTACATTTGTACATTTACAAGAAATACAAAATCTTACCTTTTTTAATATTAACGTTTTGATTTCCACATGCAGCAAGCCATTTAGATGCAATCGTTAAATCTTTCGGAAACGAAAAATATTTTATGCTGTTTCCGTTAAGCAATTTTGTTTTGCGATAATAATTGCCACAACCTTTTATACAACAGGACATTGTGTACGTATCGTATGTATCACCGAACATTAACCATGTCAAGTATCAGGAGCCACCATGTTCTCGTTTGGGCGATCTGATTGGCCCCGAGAGTGACGTCACGCTTTGACTGCGCAGTGGGTGTCCACGGCGTGAGCATACCCTTATTCTTATACCATGACCATGGTGTAACACAGAGAATCGTTTCATCCTCGTTTAACGTAGGCAAACAACAAGGATGCAATGATTCACTGTGTTCAGTGTTACACAGTGTCCACTTGTGTCGTAGCTGGAAAGCAGCCCGAGTTAGCTTTACGGAGAATAGGTTATCTGTACAAAAATAGTACAGATTTCAGATTCTCTTGAAGCACTTTGATCTTAGCTTTCTGTTACAGATATTTGGAGAGATTTTAAAAAGCGGAAGAAATGTGTTATTTATAAATAAGAATCAATTACTCGATGAGTAGGTTACATTCTGAAAACCATTTGAAAAAAAACTGTTGCAACTTTTTAATTGATACTGACTGTAGTATATAATATAATATAATTGTCATTGTAAATAAAAAAAGTTAATTTACAAAATTATGAGAGAGAAAGAGAGAGAGAGTATTCTTGCATTTCCTAATATCTGCGGTTACTATATTCAATATGAAAAAAATATAATAAATATAAGTAATTTTATTCGAGCCATATGATATTTCAAAAATAATGAAATACCACATTAATTATATATCCGAGCAAAATAAGTCATCATTGTATCAAAATAATGTCAAAATTATTACAAAATGATCATTAAAAGTCATTTTTCAATCATTTTAATGTCATTTTGACTTTATTGTGACTTCCTGTTCTAATTGCGTATATATGTATATGCTATACATATAATATTGCTGTACAATTAATTAATAATAATATATTTTGTGGGTATATTTAATTGCAAAATATAGTGTTAAGAAGTAAATGTGCATCATATATGTTTAATTTTTATTTCATTTTCTCTTTCAAATGCGTCTCGTTTTTCACTGTGAGTATTAAAAATCTATATAGTGTAAACGAGAACTATATTTTCTGTATTCGCTGTGAATAATGGAATAAATTAAGATAATTTTATAAAAGTTACTTGTTAGTACGCATATTAAATGTTCAAATGTGCAAATTAGGTTAGGACATTGTTAGAACCATGAAGGAAGATATAAGGAGACTCCACTCGGTCTCGCCAGTCTACAAGACATGAACCCATTTTAGGTTTCGAGTTCCGTTTCCGATTCTCGACACTCGCAGCGCTCGTGAATTTAGTAGTGCTGCGCATAATGAGTGCGAGTAAGAGAAATGATCATTTCTCTTACTCGCACTCATCAGAATCGGAAGCTGAACTCGAAACCTAAAATGGGTCCACTTTTATTTTACGGAGTGGAGTCTCCTTATATCTTACTTCCTGGTGCCGACAGAGAGTTGCGCTACTGTATATATTGTGATTGGAAGAGATGGCAAGAATTCGTTTGCTCGAGGAAACTTGGTGCGCATGCGTGAAGTGACGTCAAAAAAAAATGGGTCAGTTCAATTGCTGGATTCACACTGCATCCGATTTTCGTCGTACGATGACTCTGCAACCAATCAGAAAAATTGTATAATCGATACGAAGCAAAATTTTGTTTCCTGATTAGTTGCAGAGTCGTCGTACGACGAAAATCGGATGCAGTGTGAATCCAGCATATGGGTGATTCTGATTGGCTGGGGTATGGATCGCACATCTGCGTTCCATGAACATGTACCATAAAGCCGGCTACGTATCTGCGTGATCGTATAAAAAACGCCTGTTCGGCAAATCTGATGCGCAGCGGCTGCCAAATCCGATGCCTAAAAGAACGCACCCGTATAGTTAATACCGATATATAATTTCCTACATTGCCGGCTGATGCGTGCCTTGCGAGATCTCCGGCCGAGGGCGCGACGTGCTTCAGCGAGAAGCCGCGAAATGTTGTTTTGAGAGATCGTTTGAGTGAAGTAGACTTTAGTAGAAATTTCGCTTTGCCTCGAGTGTGTGTCATTTTTTTTGGAAAGCGTTGCCGGCAGCCGGCTTCGACTTAAGCTTGGTCAAGTTTACTTTGTCAACGAGGACCCGGGCCATTTATATTACATATAAGAAGAAGAAAAAGGAGACACTCGAGACTCGACGTCGTAGTTACTCGGTCTTACTAGTCAGTACAGGTCAGTGTGAATACATGTAAATATATATTGCAATTAGTCTGTTTTTTTATTGCTGCACTCAATATTAATAAAATATAGGCGAGTGAGAGTCAATACTGAATAAGTTACCAATTTGTGTAACATTTATTAAAAAAAAATATATATATATTAATTTCATATATAAATTACTACGAACTAAGGTATAGTAATTCATGTAGGAAGTTATGTATGAAGTATATATATATATTTTTTTAATAAATTAAACAGTAGATGGTAAAGTGTCGTGTGGACGGTTTATGGACACTTCATCTTTTTTATTTCATCGTCGTCACTTGTTCGTAAGACATTTTACCGTCTAGTACATTTCTTCGTTTACTGTAGCTCATACGTTCCGTTTTAACACTCATAACGCTCGTAGAATCGTTTCATCCTTGTTGTTTATCAAATGTCAAACAAGGAAAAACGATGCTTGTGAGAGTTAAGTGGAATTCAATCTGTTTACGTTTCGAAACATCTTGTTTATATTCTTTTGCGCCGTAAGGACACTGTCCATCCGCGACACTTCTTCGTCCGCTATTTATGACATTATTATAGATATACGTTTCGATCAAGTCTTTTACTATAAATAGCGGACGAAGAAGTATCGCTTACGGCGTAAAAAAATATAAGCAAAAAATGTTTCGAAACATAAATAGTAGACGGCAAAGAGTGTCGTGGATGAATAAATATACTAGACAGTAAAATGTCTTACAACCAAGTGACGACGATGAAATGGTAGAAGAAGCCTATACAAAGGATCGAGAGATTATATCATAAATAAGATTTTTTTAACAAACTAGAATATTATTTAAGACCGTTAATTGATAAACAATAATAAATTGGAAGAAGAAAGCCATTTACGGTCAAAGCTGGATCACAGTGCTTGTTATAATTGTGTGAATTTTATATACTGCGTATGTAGTCTCCCCATAAATGAGATTTTTTTTATTTATTTATTTCTATTCTAATATAAAATAGTGGTTCAATCAGAATGCAGTTTTTATTTGTTTATTTAATCATGAATTGCTTTCCATTGATACACAAGTGAAATTGAATCTAAATTGAGCTGGGAGTTTTTATACTCAGATTTAATGACATTATTTGTTTATTTTGGTAAAAATTTATTATCACATAA